TTTATCTGTGGTATGAGTGGAGAAATAATAAGGATAAGCGGTATTCATTATTCTCTTGATGCATCTGTATTTATTTAGAATTACTATTAATGATTGTTTATATTAAAATGTCTTAACTACACTGGGTTTTTGACTTGTGAGCAGCTTTAGCAAAAGCCCAACAACAATTGCTTGATCAACAAGAAAGGGATTATATCCTTAGCCAAGTTACTGCGGCTAAAGGTAATGCTTAAATTTTAGGAACTTTCTGAGGAGGCCTTATCTATTTGCTGGCATTGTTACCTCTCACTTAAAAATTTCTTCAAAATCGAAAACATTTGTTTGGAATATTATTGCTGGTGCCAAGTACCTAAAGCAGAGTCTAATTGTAGATTTTGTACTCACTTTTCTTTGGTTGACTTTTCCTTTAATGTTATGTTCAGTTAGTTTGATAAATAATCAGTAAACTTGCCAGCTTATCATTGGAAATTTGCTATCATAACATGCATCTGTTCGACTTCATCACTTTGAATTGGGATTTTTCTCTCTTTCCCCTCTCTTATATGAATAAGCAAAATAAACCTAAAACCTGTTGCAAAAGAATAAGTTCTCATGTTTCATTTGATGCAATGTGCAGAAGAACTTACGGCTAAGAGGAAGAAGCAGTTAAAGAAAGACACAGCTTCCAAGTTAAAGTCATTACTTGACGAGGTATGCCCTTAATATATTTTCCTTACAATCTTTTCATATTGATCAATTTGGTGCAATTAGAGTTTTAGCTTTTCTTATTGATCAATTCCTTAATATATTTGGCTTTTCTATGTCTGCTGTTTCCTTTCCATTGAATTGGATTTTTCCTGTTGACTTGCCCCATCCAATTCCTTTAGATTTTTTTATGCCAAGAGAAGAGACTAAGGAAGTCTGTTCATTTGCAGGGAAAATCTGAGCAAGAATATGAACAATCAGAGGAGTTCCAGCAGCAATTGAAATTGAAGGTTCGGGAATTATTAACAGAGCAGGAATGGCGGCGGAAAAAAATGGCAATGAGGGTACACTGGATTCTGTCAACATCCTTGCTTTCCTTATTTGTTCTTGCTTGTTAAAGGAATTACCATGATGGGTTAATCACATCTTCGAATGTTATCTCAGATATCTGAAGAAGAAGGTCGACTAAAGAAGGATGAAGAAGAGCAAAAGGAGATGTGGAAAAGGAAGCGTGAACATGAGGAGCAGTGGGAAGGAACAAGGGAAAAGCGAGTATGTTTTCTCCTCTTTGTTTGGTTTCTTTTTTAAGAGCCCAGAATAAGAAAGTTACCTGTTCAACCTTCTCATGATTCTCATTAAATGCTTAAAATGTTTGTTTCCTCTTCTCTGTTTCTTGGCCAGGTTTCCAGTTGGAGGGATTTTATGAAGTCGGGGAAAAAGGTAAAAGTTATATATATGAAAAAATCATCTTATACGCATGCTGTGTAAACTTTAATTTGCAGCCTATTTATTTTATGGCATGTTTTCTGTTTACTGTTTAGGGGTTTAGAATATAGGGTTTTATTGTTAGGTTTTGTTCGCCTTATTTAGGGTTTAGAATTTAAGGTTTAGGATTTATCGAGTCATATTCAAATTCCAAGGAAAACAAATGAGAAATTGTTTTAATTAAAAGGAAAGAGTTATTGATGGGAATGGTTGTTCGCAGTCGAAGAAAGGAGAACTTCGTCCACCGAAACTGAAGACGGAGGATCCCAACAAATCGTATGTTCAGAGGCCTGTAAAGCGGGGTTAACTGCTCAGCTGTTAGTGTCCGTTATTGTGGATCATCTTACGATGTAGCTTTGAACAAACGACTTCACCTTTCGATGAACCATCCTCAACTTATCTATTTCGGGGTTTTCAGTATTTTCCCAATACATGAATATATGTAATATATATGTATATGTAGCTCAATTTCAGGTTCTCTATATAATTTTCATTATATACACCTACATTATATGTATTTATGCATTTTCATTAATATGTAAATCTTAAAATTTTAATATTTTAAGTTAAAACAAGAAAACAAGTACTAAAAATATTTTAGATTATTGTTATTTGAATACCATAATTTAATATTTTATTTGTAAAACATGAGAAATATATAAACATATTGATAAGCAAAAAGCTAATGTGAGATCAATTAATTGGTCGAATGGTTAAACATCTTGATAAATAAAATGGTAATGTGAGATCTATTAATTGATCGACTAATGTGAGATCTATTAAAAATAATTCAAACCTTAATATCTATTTTGAAAATATAATACTCTCCACGTAGTTTCAAAAAGAAAAGTTAATGCGGTGAGAGTCCTTACTAATTTATATAAAATCTGTATTGACGTTTTGGCTTGGTAATTGGGAATGGTATTATTGAAAAGGATAGTAGTGAGGTTTAAACAAAAAATATTTGAGAAGACCATGTGAAAGAAAACTTGTACGAACTAGAATCTTTTATGTTCATATCTTCTAAAACGTCATCAAGATTTTTAAATTAGAAATTGATGAGAACATTTGATTCTCGGAGATATGAATAGAACCTAACACTTAAAAATCATGACTGACGCGTTAGGAACACATCTCATCGACGGTTTGTAAATGGCTTAACCTAAATAAAGATGAGCATAAACATAGCAGCAATCAGAAGCTGACCCCTTGAAAAGAAAAGAGGGAAGAAAACTGTCGAAACGATTTTTTCTTTTAAGGGTGAGATTTTAAAAACCACATTAATTCTTAATTATCTCTTTTTAATTGAAAAACAAATGTGATTTAAAAGACCTCTTGTTTCGAAAAATATTGAATTTCCTTTACGATCGAAAAATACGGTTCGAAGAGTCGCCACCAATCTTTGATTAGGGTGTGATTGGGCACCCAAAAATATTTGCTATTTTAAATAAAAATTAATTTTAATTAAAACAACAAATTAAGGTCTGCGTTACCAAAATCCGAGCTCGGGAGTCGGTTACGTGTAGGGAAAGATTAGCACCCCCACAACGCCCTAAATTGGTACCTAGTCGATTAATTAACGTCCTTGCATTGAACTTTACAAATTCGAACTTAATTTGATTTTTGATCCTATAAAACAAAGACGTAAATTTAAAAACATTCAAAATCACTCAATTAAATTAAATTAAAATTACCAAATTGTTTTAGAAAGATAAAGAATATTCGATTATTTACAAATATTGAGACCAGATCTTAAAGATATAACAACATTTTCTCGATAAATTTAAATAAACGAACATTTCCTTTTCTCTCGTTCCCAAATTTTAGGTGACGAATCAATTTTTTTGTTTCACTTTCGGGATACATTTTTAATTTAAAATCGTCAAAACGACCTTCTAATCAGTTAAGACAGGCCACTCGAAATAATTTTAAATTAAAAGGGTATTACCTTTAGTCCGATTATGTAATAGGTCGAGTTATGCACGTGAGGCTATAATACAAATTATGCAAAAAGTGGATGTCATGCCAAAATTAATTAAACAAATTTAAAAATATTATGCAACGTGACATACAAAAAATTATATACGTATATTTTAATTAAAAATCATAAATTATGCATATTAACATATTATGTACAAATATGACTCAAATATAAAAATAAAAACTTAACATGTTAAACTATAAATTAAAAAAAATGTATATTTACATGTTAAAATAATGACTAAATTTAGATATATGTAAAATTAAACATACAAATCAAAAATTGAACCAGAGATTTAAATAAAAACACACATAAATATAAGGGATTTAAACATGAATAATCTAATGAAATTACAACTAAAATTACAACTGGAAAAATAACGAAATCATGACGAACACAAAAGGTTAAATTCAAAAACATTCTTAAAGGTGACTAAAGTAAAAAATATGCTAACCTTATAAGGACCAAATAACAGGTTATATCCTAAAGTCATAGTGACTAAAAAAATAATCAACCCAAATGTCTAACTATGAATCTTAAACTAAAATATCTAAGCTAAACTCACTGAACCTAAATGCCTAAGTAAATCACGTGCTCAAGCTCTCTACCCTCCATCTCTACTTCTCTCCCTTCCTTATCGATAGAAACCAGAGAATTACAAAACTCTCTTTGTCTGCCACCATATTCAACGGCCACGGTAATGACCAAAACCTCTATCGAAACGAAGCAACCATCGCAGCCCTCTATCGTTCACAGTCTCCCAACGACAGAAAGAAACTTACCGATGAAGAAGAAAGATAATTTCCATTTGGATTTTCATTTCTATGGACAAATTCTTACTGTCTTTTTCTAATTTATTTTAATATTTTCTGTTTTAATCTCTGATTGAATTTGTAACTCTAGCCCCAGTCCCTATCTCTAGCAGTCGAATCCCACCAAGACTACTGATTCCTTTCTCTTCTTACTTTCTAGGCTTCGAAAGAAGAATTACAAAACTCATACATGAATGAACATTTCAAAGGTAAAGAAATGAAATAAATAATGATAATAAAATAAAGGAAAATCTGTTTATGAGTTGCTAGTATAGCTTTCAAAACTCATTGCTTGTGATAGTATCGCTGTCGAAATTCACTACTTGTGCTTAGAATACAGGGAAGGAATGTTGTTTACACCGTTTGATCTCTGAATATGGGAAAGAAAATTTTTACACACACTGTTCTTTTGTTGCTTTTTTGTGTTTAAAAAAATAAAAATAAAAATCTTTGTTCTTCTCGTAATGGTCTCTCTCGGCTCAAGTATCTCCTCTGTTTTTTTTTTTATCATCTCCTTCCGTGTCTGTGTTTTTCCTCTCTGTATCTGATGGTTAATGCCTAAGAACCAACCCTCACCTCCACTTTGCTTTGGTTAACTCCCAATAACCGTTTTTTTAGTTTTTTAGGATTTCACGTAGACTGGACTTGGTCATTGAATTGGGCCTCTAACTACTCTGCTTCGGGTCTGCTCTGACTTAACCCCAGATAAATCGAGCATCTACAAAAACCTTGCTGATCAAACCTGCCAAAACTCTTTGTTTACTAAAGTTTCTTTTATCTTCACACAAAAACATTACAATATTGTACAAATCACATAATGTGAAAATTACACCAATATATAACCCTCTATATGATACGCATATTTATATTATCTCTCTCATCATCACATATAATGGAGACCTCAAAGTAGGGCAGAAAAATATTTGATCTAAAATGACGAATATATATGCTAAATGTGAAAAATACTACCAACCAATCGAAGAAACCACCCGATTGCCTGCTTTCTACACTCAATTTACAGAGGGCGAAGCCTTAAGTGCAACTTTCAGCACATTGCCAAAAAGCAAACCAACCGTTAATGGCAATCTTGTTCCTGAACTTGCATCTCTTTCATGATCTCAAGGCCAACAGTCTGCTGAAACTGCCAAAAAATTAAAAAATGCCTGTATATGGCATCATGCTCTATACAGAGCACTGGAATCCCCAGGTGGGTATAGCATGAGCCCGAATGAGTATATATAAAATCAATTTGAAGGATCTACTATATCCAAGAAAGTGAGCCTCGGTCATTTGCATCTTCTGCTTGAGGACGACCTCTGGTTGGTGTTGCAGGTCTGTTGGCATTCAGCTCCTGATCCCATAAACACAAAAATCAACGTCATTAAAGAAAAAGTGCACGTAGTACAAGTAAAAAACATACAGAAACAATGCAAGTTTGGTTACTGCTAACAAAAACATTCAGCTCCTGATCCCATAAACACAAAAATCAACGTCATTAAAGAAAAATTGCACGTAGTACAAGTAAAAAACATACAGAAACAATGCAAGTTTGGTTACTGCTAACAAAAACATTCAGCTCCTGATCCCATAAACACAAAAATCAACGTCATTAAAGAAAAAGTGCACCTAGTACAAGTAAAAAACATACAGAAACAATGCAAGTTTGGTTACTGCTAACAAAGCGGAAGAAGCAGGCACCTGCATCCACGTATCTTCTGTATGACCTCCCGTTGATGCTTCTGGTGATGAAATTGCTGGGGGTAAAGGATGAATGAGTTTTGGAACAACCACAAGATCTCTACCCAAAACTAAGATTGCACCAGCATTATTAGCAGTACCTGAAAAAAGACAAAGCATGATCCAAAATTTAAAGGCTAGTTGTCTTTAGACCTGATAGTCAAACGCGCACAAAATCAAAACACAAGACAGGGACACACCACAATAATTGGTAGCAGAGAAAAGGGTGATTAAATGTCCCTGTGCAAAGCGTTCAAAGCCATCCATAACACACTCGTGGGCACGAACAATCAACTGGAGGTCATTATTATTGCAGAATTCCATGACACGATCAGGCTGCAAAAGGAAAAAAACCATTTACAAAATATAACATGAAAAATCAGCATCAAGTACTCAACAGAATAAGTTTTACTCAGATATAGACCAGTAGAAGCAAGTAAGAAAAGAAATACACAAACAATGTAAACAAGTATCTTAAGTAAAAAAAAATTAGCTTTCAAGAGAGAGTTTCATGGGCATAGCACGGAGATCAACCAGCCAGTAATGTCGCTACAAAAGTCTTGAATTTCTGTAGCTTAACAAAAGCTTTAAAGTAGCATACTCACCCCAAAAGTAACCAAACCTGGACCTCTAGCATTTGGTCGCAACCCTTCCACACTGTCGTTTTCCGTTGGATCGGACCTAGAGTAGAAAATGTCAATAAAATGTATCAAGTTAAAACAATGAATACTATATTTCATCTCCAGAACAAACAGTAACATCCTCCAACCATAATAAATCCATAAGAACGATCGAGCCAGCTTCCATCGTAATTGGACGCTGTAGGTTCTGAATCTGTTCCACATGATTTATAGACCGACCAATGCCACCATGCATACAGATGATTTTCTTTTCAATTAGAGCTGCCAGAGGAAGCCAATTGAATAAATTGTTTATGTGATGCCATGCCCATATTCCATCTCTCTCACCCTGTTATACAAGCCGTCAGATTAGTGAGTAAAATGTTATTCTAAAAAGCATGACTTGGCATTTATCTAACAGTACCATGCGCTCAATACACTCAATCCGAAATCCAAAAAGTGCATTGATATCCGCAGCTTCATGATTCCCCCGAATTAAATGTACATTATTGGGATACTCAACCTGCAACATTAGCATAAGTAGGTAGTTAATCAGTATTTCAATAGGAAGTAAAACTAAGCATGAGAAGAGTGTGGAAATACCAAACTTCTATATTTACCTTCAATGCAAGCAGAAGAGCAATGGTCTCCAAGCTGTGTTGGCCTCGGTCCACATAATCCCCTAAGAAGAGATAATCGATATATCTGATAGTAATTTATACAAAATTAGTATCAAGTAAAAAAAATTAGATTAGAAATTAGATGCAAACCACACATGCAGATGACACACGAGAAGACGACATTATTTATAGATATTAGAAAGGTCAGTTCTTAGCATGCTGAAACATCACCAATCAAGCGCCTTCAGAAAACAAGATATTTTGGCTAAACACTTACGCAATGTCCCCAGCTGTTGAAGGTGAGCCATATTCATCAAAAAGGCGCATAAGATCTCCAAATTGTCCATGTAGATCACCAAAAATCTTAATAGGAGCTTTCAGCTGTAAAACAGTTGGTTCAATGGTAAATATTCTTTCAGCACTTTCACAGAGATCTGCTATTTCGTTGCAGTCTAAGAAAAACTGTCGACAAACTGGAGGTTTCCAACCACGAGGCTTCAGAAGATGTGCAATGACCTGGAGAAAGTGACATAAACCATTACAGTTGAACAAATGAAACTTTTCAAGTTGGTTGAGGGAACAATTACTGAAGAAACTTCTATCAGCTGTAACATTCACTAGTGTCTCAAAGACTGGTTGAAAATCAAATCAGATCAATGTACAAGAACTAACTACATAACTAACTGACACTAAATAGAAAAATGGATTTTTATGCCCAGTAATCCAATTAGAATGAGAGAAATTTCAAGGATGAAGTCTGTCCAAGCAACATTGAACTAATAACAGAAGAAATATATCAGATCAATAATTAATTGTTTTTAGAACTAATGGGCATTACTGAAGATTGCATAGCCATGACAAGATTATGACACATTTAGAGCAAGGTGATGAAATCCTCCGGCCTCCAAGTAAATCACATGCAAAATAATTTCTAGTTCTTCCACATTTTTTTTTCATTTCTTCTCTATCGCCGTTTCCTTTGATATCATGAATTTGAGCTATGACTGATTAAGAAGCCAAGGGAGATTTATTCCACTGTTATGAGACGTACAGCTTGCTGGTAAATCCAGATATATGTAGCCTTTCATGCATTTTCTTCTTTGCCCTTTTCCAAGTTACATCAAGGGAATAACCACCTCAGGAATAATACAGAATATTCATGGAGGGTAATTGTGCCTACTAGAATAAAAAATCGAGGAACCTGTCTTCTTCACTTAAAGGTTAAAAATTAAAAAAAAAATACTATAATCAATCGCATTATAATAAAGATAAATGCTATAACAAAATCCTATTCCATATAATAAAGACCATTCAAATAGAGAGAAATTATTCTCAAGCGTTAGTGTTAGAGGTTTTGGGCAACAGCCAGGAAGATACTGATCTTACTATTCAACACTGTCATTTGGTCATTCAACAATTACCCCAAAAAAACACAGGTGCTATGTGAAGAAGAAGAAAAGGTACCAGTACCTTTTTGGGGACACTATTAATTGACATTTGTCTATCTAATAGTTTCCTGGCTGCGCTTGCGTTCTCAAGAGTCCCATAGCTAACCCGCTTGCCTTCATTTTCAAATTGATCAATAGAAAGCTGTCTGACCATTCCACCCAAAGCTCCACCAGTCTCTGCTACTATAACAACCTGTTGGTGTAAAGGAAACATTTGACAGTGTCACTGCTAAATAAATGCCAATATGGACCTGAGACCAGTACAGTGTAGGTCAAATTTTCTGATACTGACAGCTCTATGGTGAAGCCGAACTCCAGCAGGTGCAACATTATTTGATCCAGCATTATCAGGCATCTTACTAAAGGTAGACGTCTGTTTTCCACTAGGTGTAGCCTCTCCCCCTCGATCCCTATCAGGAAGTTCAACTTCTCCATTAACTTGCCGTGCCTTGGCAGCGGCAAGTGTGGCACTTATAGCCTCAGCTTCCGCAGCTGATGCCTCAACCAAATAATCAACACCTTTGTCCATTTTCCTGAAAGATATGCCACATTATATAGCTCATTGGATTAACAGAGGAGGCTTAACCATTCAAGAGACATGTAACACAAACAAGTATGGGGGGCAGCTTACCGGGATCCTTGAAGCATCACATTCTCAGCGCTTATGTCAGCATACATGTCTCCATTTACAGGAGGAGCAACTGGAGTTCCCAGCACAACAGCTCCATCAGGAACTGCTTCAGTCATTGTTTGCCTTGCTCTTTCATCAATAAATCCATACCTTCCAGGTAACCGTGCATGGGAAGCAGCATTTGCTGCAGCAGCAGCATGTGAAGCTGCTGTTGTTGTCTCAGCAGCTGCCAGGTCTTCAGCAACAAGCAGGTCATCAAGCAACACTCCTACAGCACAAATACAACATATTACTTTTTTTTTTATAAGAATTGGAGGTCTCGTTAAAAACCTCCTTCATACAACTTATTAGCACACTAAAAAAATTATCAAATATTGATTGTCATACGGATTAGCATTAAATACCAAAAAATTATCAAATGTTGATTCTCATACGGATTAACTTCCGCCAAAAAGCCTGTAACTTCTACCTTAACAACCCTAAAGCACAAACCATAAGCCAGAAAGCTTGCACTTACAGGAAAACAAAAAGGATAAGAACTAGGAAGATCATTCAATAAAACAAATGCAGTGAGAAATCCAAAATAACTACATGTGGATCACATAATGCATAATATATCAAACATGCAAATAGTAATCAACAAATTAAAGACTAAATTATGTTTCTATATAAAAAAAAGACTAAATTATGTTAATAGGGATGACAATTTAATCCGGATCCGACTGGTTTCAACCCGATCTAATCTGATAGGGCCAGCTTTTTTTTTAATTGGGTTCGGGTCGAGTGTTGTAAATGGCATTGTCGGGTTGGGTTCATATTTAGGGTGAAAAACCATGACCCGATCCGGGATAATAATATAATTTTCCTCTATATATTTAGGGATAATTGCTATAATACCCCCTCTATAATTTTTTTCCAGTTAGGTCCCTATTTTGCCGAATAAGAATATATATATATATATTTGTATCGAGTCAGGTCAGATGCAGTTTTATCCCAAAATTTGAGTCGGATGAAACCTCCTTAAACTTAAGTTGGGTTCGGGTGTAGGGGTATGCTTCTTGGGTAAGGTTCCGGTTGGCCAAAAACCCGACCCGACTCGTTGCCATCCCTACTTTATGTATAGGGAAAAACATCATTCTAGATTAATCATACAATAAAGTTCTAAAGAGAACTATAATTATATATACAATATGTAAAGGCATATGCATCTAATTGATCACTGATAACTCAATGCTGAAGCTAGAAAAAAACAGGGTGCACATGTTAAAGAATAAAAAGATATATTACCACCACGTAAACCACCATAAATAAATATTAAGTCACCAACAGCTACAGCTGCAGCTGCATGTCTGCAACGCCTCGTTAACTCGACAGAAGCATCTCCACCAGCATCATCGGCACTGTATCTACCTGTCCTCTGGCTAGTAACAACAGATTTTGTATCACACCAAACTCCCGCAGCAGTATCCAACACTATCAGAAATGTGGATATGTTAGCAACTAGTATATGTACAGAAATAGTGTTTCCTTGATAATAAATGGATGACCGATCATAGTAATAATTATCATTTCCTATTGTAAAAGAATAAATTAAGCCATTGAACATGTCCTCTTGTTTTATATAAATTTAACAAATTTCCAGAACTTTATAGTGCCTGAGTTCAATTCAGGTAACAAAACCTTTGGGCAGATGTAAGTCTCAAAAGTTCCGAGTAAAATCTTATTAAAATGTCAAACCGCAATAATAGCTTTAATTTGTTATTACAAGATGGAAACTCCAAGTTACAAATGGGTGGACAACCTTCAAATCTAAGAAAATTTGTTCCCTATGGTCTACAATACCATTGCATCCTTTTCCCGACAAAAAGAGCAGGACATTGGGGAAGTTTACAACATATTTGACCCAAAACCTACTTCTAAACCTTAAATCTTTTACAAACCCACATTTGATAGTATACCAGTAAAAACACTAGCACATCACTAGAAGTCAAGACGTTGGAAAAACAAGATCAAGTACCTGCAACACTTGATGAGTCTTCAACCATGCGTCCTCCACCAAGTGCCCCACCAGAAACATGGAGCCTTGCATTGACAAAAACCTAGAAGCATACCATGTACATGTGATCCACCTAATTAGAAGAATTCACAGAGTGATCTACATTATTTAAAGGTGAGTGCATGGAAGAAAAGAAACTCACTGCTGCATGTTGATATCTTGGTGATGGTGAGACACCAGGAGCAATTGCCCATTCCCAACGGCCATCCCTGTGTTTTGCAAGCCCATATGCACTTGCTAATGGCTGAGAAAGAATCATAGAGAAAGGAAACCATGGGCAGAGAACAGATTAAGCAAATCTAATTCTAAAAGGGGATCTAAACATTTTAAAAGTCCAAAAGGGACAAAATTAAGACATCCTTTCATGTATCTCAGCTCAATCGTTTAAAATATCTTAATTGCTATTATTTTCAAATTCTTCAGAATTTATTAGAATGCTTCTTTCTTCCAATCAACATGGATAAAAAAATACTGAAATCAGTGCCAAAGTACACTGTGATGTATTTAAGCTTTACTCAACTGAACAAGAAAAAGCTGCCCTCGGCAATAATTTATGACAAGTTAAAACTATGGGTTATGAAATCTCATGGCATATTGTTCAGAAAAAACACATCTAAAAAACATATATTATACCATAGATTTACTAACTCTATACCATACAAGGAGGACTTCTCAACTCACCACACTGTTTGCATCCCTCCCTCCACAGAGCAGAAGAAGGCCATCAGATCGTGCACTCGCAGTAGCATACCTAGTTAAACAACAATTTTCAACAGGTAATTAATCTACAATGATCAAAATAAATCATCAAATAAATAAAAATAAAGAACAATAATCACGAAGGGCACTTGACATCACTGCCTCTGAAAGCATAAACAAGACTACAAGCTTTAAGATATAATGTCACAAATGAAGTACATATAAATACATTTAACATTTATCATGTGCAACCATATTAATGGTAACATGGGCATAGCAATAAGTACAGTATCAGAGAAGTGACAGTAATTTTTTCATATCTTGCATACTGCTCTTTCTAATAGACCCATAACCATAAAATAAAACAGAATGCCAATCCTAAGATTGACAAATGAAAACCAATTGTGTGTGTAGTTTACGATAGAGAGTGTACATGCATGGAGGTGGACCTTCCCCTTCGGGTTCCAATTTACGCCATTCATAAGGCTTGGCAGCAGTGTCCAAGGCCCATACGTCTGCCAAAGGTCGTTTTCCTAGATATGATGCACCAAAATTTTCAACAAACAATTCATTATAGAATTCCAATGTATATGAAAATAAAATATAAAGCGTTTATTGATAATCTTTAAAAGGTGCATGCAAGAAAAAACAGAGGAAAACATTTACCATCATTTCCACCAATTGCCATGAGATACCTTTGCCCTACTAAAGCCATTACATGGCCATAGCGTGGCCCTGGCCCTGGCCCAGGGCCTTGAACGACAACCCTGGAATACAATTGACAGTCATATCATTAAACCAATTGTAACACAATAAATAAGGTGAATGCGCATGCATCCTTTGAGACCCAACCTATGCCACCGTGGTCGTTGTTGTGTGAGATCAAGAACATGAAGATCCTCAGCAGACAAGCCGGCTGGACCAATTCCACCCTGAGTCAAAATAAAAGCTCTCGATGAGGAATACTTCTTGCAGTAGGAAGAAGTTCAACTAAATAATTTATAAATAGGAATATATATATATATATATATATATATACACACTATAAAATACCACACTGTGCACTAACCTGAATAACTACCATAGTCCCGACAGCAGTGGCCACATGTGCTGCCCTTGGTGTAGGTGGCTCTCCAAAGGGTGTGATCCTATGAGGTGAATTACATAATAAGTCATGATGAATTTAAGAAGGTAAGTAGCACGTATGAAGCCTTAGTCCTAGGCATACCTAGACCATTTATTGGATAACACATCATAACAGTGCACATCAGCAGTAGCACCTGCTAGTCCTGCGAGAATTGAAGCAAAACAATTTTAGATCATGAAATCATCCACAAGAAAGAGAAATTTTCTTAAGAGATAATTTGTTAAAAGGGGGAAGCGGGCAAAAACTGCCTCGACTTACCACAAGTTACAAAGACTGGTAGAGTGCCCTAAATTCATGTAAATCCAAATATGATCCTACCATGCATTATAACATGAAATTGATCAAAGAAGAAGATGATGATGTATTGGACTCCAAATCATCCACGGTACTACCATAGTAAATGGCACTAGATCATGAGTATCTCAATTCTCAGAAGAATGAAGAGGTTTTTTATTTTTTGCGCATTAGGAGCATGAATTATAAGACCAGGAAAATATAGGCATATTGTTTTCGGAAACAAAGCAGGTTTTATTTGCAATGCGAGTCAAGATCAGGGTATTTGAAACTCTAAGCTGGAAACAATCATATAGGTGTTTTCAACTTGATTTTGAAACTAGGCTAGATGTATACAAAGCATTCAGAGTCCAAGTTAGCACATTAAACATCTTTGAAGGAGGACACTAATTGTTATTAACTGGACTTCCATGTATACCAATTAAGCCTTTTCCCTAAAGAAATTGGGGGGAGAAACTGAATTCGTGCCAGCATAATCAATACTAAAAAATAAAATTCACGCAAGATTAAAGATGGAAGGGCTATGCTTCACTTCAAGACTCCTACCACTTTCTAAGAAAAAAAATTCTGCATTGCACAAAACTCAGTCAATGTGAAGTTCATAACCTCATATGCCACATCCATTATTACAAGTTACAAACAATAAAATTTATTTACCACGGTATTCAACAAAAAAGAATCTAAGAGACAATTTATGTTTTGTTCCAAAAAGTACCAGCCTTCTACTTTCCTAGTTGCCTGGGCACCGCCTTACCTCTTCAGAAGTTTTGCTTTTTAAGAAATAACCCCTTTGCTCTTTGGAGCAGTAGTTTCTTCATCAATCCAACGGAAAATAAGACAGTAAAATACCTACTACTAGTCCACAACAAAATAAGTTCGGACAAGCATAAGCTAGGGTTCCTCGTTGAATATGAACATTTGGAGCTAAAATAGCAGGGTTTAAAGTATGTGCCCCTCAAATCCCCTAAGGTTATCAAACATACTTGCATATGAATAACCAAATTTCAATGCATCTTAACTTTTTTAAAGGGTTTCTTACACAAAAATCAAATCAAAATGAAATAAAACCAACTTACTGATGCCAGCGCTTCCAGCTGATGATGGAGTCCCAGAAGAAGCAGAATTCCCTTCTAGTGCCGTGGCACCACCAAACAGAATCAACCTGGGCCCAATATACCCAGGCGTCCCTTCTTCTCCCACAGCTGCCACAGCCGTTAGGGTATGCCCACACCTAGGGCCGGGTCCATCTTCTTTGTTCTCTATGATCGCATTCACCACCGAATAAGTGGGAGCACACCTCGACCCCACCACTGGAGGTTGCGGCTGTCCTTGTGCAGCAGGCGCAGCTGCTGCAGACTGTTGTTGCGCCGAAGAAAGAGGAGACCCAAGTCCAGGTGTCGAAGCCTGGCTCTCTAGTTGATGGTTTTGTTGTTGTGGTTGCTGTCGATGTTGCTTCCTCTCCATTGGTGCCGGAGATTGCATAGCTCTGTTGTGAGTCTGGTCGTCCACATCCATTGCTCTATATTCCCAAATTAATCCCTATGTTCAATAAATCGTAAATAAAGGGCAGTCTGTCGTTGCTCGACGCTAGTACTCTTCCATTGACGGTGTAAGCTTGAGCTCTGGCTTATACCGCGTCTTAATGGAAGAAAACCTATGAAGTATGATGCCAATACATGCAACTGTAAGCCAAGAATCCTCAACAATGGCTTTCGCTCGCGAAACAAAATACCACGCGAGCGAGACCACCGCCGTTTCCCTCGTAAGGCGGAGGGCCTTTACCTGAAGGATTGATAAGTATCGGAAAAAGTTGAAAATGAAAAGCCGGAAAAAAATAAGAACAAAAAACAAAAAATCCCTTAATTGAGATAAATCAAGATTTGCCACCTGAAATTAAAGCTAATTCGACTTTTCGAAAATCCTAACTTAGGTTATGAATTAACCGCCTCGTAAAAAATTCGACAACACTTTCCGTATAGGAAAAAAATTACTTTTACATGAAAAAGAAATGCAATTTTGAAAGAGGGAACGAGAAAAAAAAATCTTTTTCAGTTTTCCTTCTCTTTTTATTCGTTTGAAGCTTTTCTATTCCCTCTTATCTCCTCTGTAATCTTCAAAGATAACGGAACGGAGTTAATCTCAAAGCCTTTTAATAACAAAACAAAAAAATAAAACGAAACGAAAATAATAGAAAAAGAAATCTCTCTCTCTCAATTCTTTGACGTGAATGAATGCTGGGAAGGTTGACAGGAAGGACGCATAATGAGGTTGAAATATGAAGAGTGTTATTTAGTTCACGAAATTTAATATTATCGATATAAATATAATTATCGTTTTATAAATGTTATTTTTTGTGTTTGGTTTGTTTAATATGAATGTAAGATTATAGTATTTTGTTAAATGAATAAAAGATTAAAATGTATATTTTATCAAATTATCTTTATTATATATTTGTTTTTTAACAAATTAAATTCTATTATAATTAATTTATATATTTTCTTTAAAAAATTTAAATTCATAAAATTTATATAATTTTTTTAAATTAAAAAGATAAATAGGTTTAATAAAAGGATAAAATTTTATTTTAACTCCTGAATTTTATATAAAATTCTAATTATGAACTTTTTTTAATCTAAAATAGTTTAAGAATAAATTTGTATTTTAATTTTTATATAATTTTTTTAGGGTAAGTATACGGGAGACCACTAAATTATGATCATTAATCAATCTTGCCACCGAACTATTTTTGTCTAAATTCGACCACCAAACTTTTTAATTAATTCAATCAAACCACTCTCCGTTAAAAAACGGAGAGTCTGACGTGTCTGTTAATAAATTAGTATAATTATACATTTGGTCCTTAATATTGGTATAATTATACATTTTGTCCTTAATATTTACATATTCTATCAATTTAGTCACTATTTTAATTCGATTAAATAAATTTAACTATCAATTAGAACATGACAACTAAAAGATTTTATTTATGAATTTAAAATTATTTAATTAAATGATATTTTTAACCAATCAGGTGGTGACACATGTCACCACCCAATTAAAATGAAAAATAAAACAACAAAGATGCACCTAATGGGTATCGAACCTGCGTTCAAGGGGGAAGAAGAGTAACCAAGCGCCCAAAACAATGAGCCAAAGGTACCCAATAATTTTAACTCACAACAATTTACATTTGACTTGTACGGTTAAACAAATTATTTGGTTAAACAAATTTCAGTTCGATTAATGGTTATAGAAAAAAAAATTGGTTAATTCGATTCGGTTAATAAATTTCAAATAAATTTTGGTTCGATTAACGGTTAAGAAAAAAATAATTTATTTGAAAATTATTAACCGAACAGAATTAACCGATTTTTTATTTAACCATTAATTGAACTGAAATTTATTTGGAAATTATTAACCGAATAAATTTTTTTTTTCTTTAACCATTAATAGAACCGAATTTTATTTGAAAATTATCAACCGAACCAAATTAACCGATTATTTTTTTCTTTAACATTAATCGAACTGAAATTATTTAACCATTAATCGAACTGAAATTTATTTGAGAATTATTAACCGAACCAAATTAACCGAATTTTTTTCTTTAACATTAATCGAACAGAAATTATTTTGACCGTTAATTGAACCGAAATTTATTTGAAAATTATTAACCGATTTTTTTAATCATTAATCGAACCGAAATTATTTGACCGTTAATCGAACCAAAATTTATTTGAAATTTATTAACCGAACCAAATCAACCGATTTTTTCTTTAACCATTAATCGAACTGAAATTATTTGACCGTTAATCGAATAGAAATTTATTTAAAAATTATTAACCGAATAAAATAAATTATTTTTCCTTAATCGTTAATCGAACCAAAATTTATTTGAAAATTATACTAAATCGAATTAACCGATTTTTTTATGTAACCATTAATCGAACTGAAATTTATTTAACCAAATAATTTGTTTAACCGTACAAGTCAAATATAAATTGTTGTAAGTCAAAAACCATTGGGGACCTTTGGCCCAGTGGTTTGGGCGCTTGGTTACTCTTCTGCCCCCGCCTTCCCCTGTCAGGTAGCCCGCTTATAGTCAAACTTATAGAATGAAGCTATGCCCCACCCCTTCTACGAATGAATGGTACGGAAATGGGCTTTCATCCCTACTTTTTTCATACGCACCCGCAGCTAAAGCTAAGGCGCCTTCTAAAGTCAAGGAGTTTCCGCCTGGCCTTACCCGAGCGCATAACGGAAGTAGTTGATCCACTCTCTAGATTCGAACTGGCCGCCCTCTCATCGTAGGGGACTTGTGAACGAAGTAAACAAACAAGGGTGGGGACTCAATAATGCTTTCCTGCGTCAAGCTACTTTATCTTTTTCTTTCAAGAAAGTACATACACAGATTAAAGAGAAGGTCAAGGCCTGAGTCTATAGTATCTTGCGCTTAAATGGACTGGCCCTTCTTTTAGGGAAACAATATACTTATCTTCCCTTAGATCTGAGGGCGGCAATGTTGAGAGTGCGAAAGCACACAAAGGAGGGGCACGTCAGCCAAAAGAAGGGTATGGAGTCGGAAATCGAACCCCTTGTTGTTGACCTGTGACAGCCTCAATGCTCTTATGGCAGGGCAGTAGCAAGAACACGATCTCTCGGAAAAGAAAAAAGAAGACTAAACCCTATCCAAGATGCCCCACCAATCAAATAAGGCACTGCAGAGCCAGGCCTGTAACACCCCCAACCCGTACCCGACCCGGATAGGAGTCAGAGATATTACATTAACTTTTAAAACACGACTCTTAACCAATAATAGCAAAATATTTGAACTTATATTAAGAAAATACAATAATATACATATTGTAATATAAGTTTATCAAAATGTTCAGAGCATACACAACTTAACCCTTTAATTACATGCCAACTGCCATTTACATAACAAAATGACCTACTGATTAAGTTGCTTCTGATCTGGTGGTTGCAGGAGTAATGCTGTCAAGCTGCTTCACCTGTCGCGTCTATTTTCTTGGATCCTACGTGTGAAACACTCACACGCTAAGTCATCGACTTAGTGAGGCAGTAATAATAACAAGGCAATGTAATGAAAATGTCATGATCATATGAGATGAGATGCAAACATGTACTTAATCAATGTAGTATACATCATCAATATCCATACATGTAAGCGTATGACTGTAACATTCATGAATCTGTATTAATAAGTTTATTGGCCCATGATAGCATATTGAGAACCTAAGGTATCTAAGTAATGTGAGGTTGTGCACTATGTTGTCACCACAGCTCGTATAAATGCACCGAAGTGCCGCGTAGAATTGCACCGTAGTGCCATGTAATGATGTCCATAAGGACCACATATAATTCCTTAAGAATCATATACATATACTAAGGATCAAGTATGTGTCTTTCCAAGACTTCACACATGTTCCACAGAATATATATATATCCCGAAGGACCGCGTCCAATTGCACTGTAGTGCCATATAATGATGTCCATAAGGACCACATAGAATTCCTTAAGAATCATATACATATACTAAGGATCAAGCATGTGTCTTTCAAGACTTCACACATGTTCCAAAGAATATACATATGTCCCGAAGGACCGCGTAGACCCTCTACCCTTGGCATGCCAACTATACCTATAGTTCTCATCTACATAACATGGGCTTTTACATTTCACGTAGTCTATATCGCGTAGACATGTAATTTCTTACCTTTTCACATAGCTCATAACTTTTCCCACATATTCATGTCATATAATGCATTTTATATGAACTCATGTCATGTCTCATAATACAGAATATGCTCATGTACCAAGATAAAATCTAGACTTATCACAAGTCTAGAATGAAGTATATTTCTATAATCATGTATGCATATGCACTCACCTATACTTCTTTGCCTTTTCCTCGATCGATCCTACTTGTAGATTGTTCCCGAACTCGTGTAGGCTCGGTATCTACATAAACATAATTTTCAAGATGATCATCAGATGTCTATGTATTGAAATTAAGCTTTAATAGCTTACTAATTTAAGAAATTAATAGCTTAGTCTTTCTTTCTTTTCTTCTTTTTTTTTCTCATGGGGGAATCGGTTCCCCCCTGGGGGTATCGATTCCCCTCTAGCATTCTAGAAATTCATATTCGTTGAGGGGGTATCGGTTCCCCTTGAATGGGTACCGATTCCCCTAGCCCGAAAATCCTATTTTGAGCTCGAAAATCCTTTCCTTTCAGCTCAAATATACATATTTCACTCCCTTTAATACTCTTAGCTTTCATACACTTACTTAAACTAATTATTATCCATTCAATACCTCTAAAACTAAGAAAACTACTCATCCATATAGAATTGAAGAATCTTACTCCAATTCCAACTTGTTCTAATTTCAATTCTATTACCTCATACTTCTTAATTAACTTATTGACAAGTCAAAAATCTTATTCAAACTTCAAAAACTCATCCATATCAAAATTTCATCTAAAAACTCATTTTCCAAATCTATCTCTAAAACACTTATCTTGTTGTCTTAATGCCATATAAGCTTTCCTTTAGCTTATATAACATCCAAACTTCCATTTCCAATCTTAAAAATCAAAGAAACTACCAAGGTTCAGATTCTTACCTTTACTTGCAAGCTTCACGTTTGGAGAAGGAAGAGAAGAAGATAAGAAAGAAGGAAGAAGAAATGAGAGGATTCTGGAAACCTTTGTTTCCTCCACAAGCCCCACGTGGTTCTAATATAACCCCATAACATTTTTTAATTATAATTTTTCCTTACAAATGACCATTTTGTCCTTACATACATTTCATATTTACTAACCATTATTTTTTAACTATATAATTATTCTACTTTAATCACCAATTGTTGAAACTTTGCAAATTAATCACTAACCCGGCATGGAGGATGTTACAAATCTCCCTCCCTTAAGAAAATTCGTCCTCGAATTTTCAATAAGAAAAGAGATGGGGATACTGATTCCTCATATCCTCCTCACGCTCCCATATTGCTTCTTCTACTTTGTGGTTTATCCACAACACTT